CTATAAGAACAATACTGAAAGAAAATATTCAATTCGACTCCTCTGGTTATAGGAATTGGGATGTCCTTCAGCATGCAGACGCCAATTCCATTTTCAGCGGTCAGACCAGACAGACGATGCAAGATGGATGGAAGGACATCGGAGGAGACACACACCTTATAGATATAAATAGCTTTTCTGAGAGCACATTTGGTATAATGAAATTTTAAAACATCAATTAGAGTCTTTATAAATAAAAAATTACACACAAGACACATAAGATTATCACATTTACAGATCTGATTATCAACTAAAGGGGGAGACCGAGAGGAGATAGACCTACAAAATAGATTAGACCCTATTAACTGTCTCAAGGAGTTCAAACCTCTATGGCAGACAGAGACCAAATGCATCATTAAACGTGTCCTATACCAGCAAGTACTTTAGTCCAAGATGGAAAAGGTCAAAGGTCAACGAATTGGTTTATAGATCCTGTAAACCCAAGCACAATATTGACTCTTTTACTCTGGCAAAACACTACATTGGTGACATATTCAGGTATCTCAACATGACAGCACTGCTACGCCCGGAGAGCTATGACATGAAAATAATAGACTTGCACAACGAACATGAACAGTGATCAATATGGCTACTGTAATCTAAAATAATAGAACGAAACAACACATAATCAAAAGAACAATATCAGTGATGAGAGGCGTGGGAAGTAGGAGGATGCCGAGGGTGCCTCCGGCACCCCTGGGGACTAAGAAGAAATGAATCTGCACTCTAACAAGAATTAAACAAAATATATCATAGCAACTAACGAATACTCATACAAACAACTATCTTTCAGCGCTTGAAATAATACAACATAACTGCATTCATAATTAAGTAAGAATAATCACCACTTCTATCACTCACAAAAAAACTGACTAATATATCAGACACATAACAAACATATCAAAAAAAATGAACTTTCACACATTGTAAGAAAGAGCAGCTCAAATGTTCGTTCCTGTGGAAAACAATATGAAAGAGAACGGTCATCCATACACAATTTACTTCTACGCGCTCGAGTTCTGCATATAGAGCAATGATCTTGGAAACATCTAATCACTCAGAAAAGTAACGTGATCTAATTCAATAAATAAAAGATTCAGCCGATAAATAACATGAAAGCACAGGCTACTTATACATACCAGAATGGACGTAAATTGTCAGGAGCTAAGTGGCCATGTGACTTTCTGGCAAATCTTTATCAGTACCAAATCCGATATTTAACCAAGTTAAATTTCCTATTCAAAATAAGAAGTCCCGATAACTAATAATCCACAAATATAAAGTGCAAACGAATCACACATAATAAATTTCCTCCTCCATCGCGAACACTCATTCTATGACTCATTCACCTATTAATTAATATCTACACATTCTTCTCCAACCTCGGTACACACTCATCTTTAACAACTACATTAACAACAAACATCGTTCAAGTTTATTATTATACCATATAAATAATCAAATATTAATAATTAGCAATAGGAGCTTTGTATTTTTATAGGCACCTATTACAATAATTGTAGCCAAACTCGCTTCACAGCAGTCAATGACAGAATTAGTATAAACGCATGATCAGGATAAAAAGGCAATGTAAAGGACCAGCTTACATTCAATAACACTATATCCACGAAGGTAATACATGAAGGACTTGTTACTCGACTTGACTTGGACCTCTTCTTAGGTGACTTGGACTCTGACTCGAACACAGGTAATGATGACTCGGACTCGACTCGGACACTCCTCGGTGACTTGGACTTGGACTCAGACTCGAACACAGGTAGTGGTGACTTGGACTCGACTCGGAAACTCCTTGGGTGACTCGGACTTGGACTCTGACACGACTATGACTCTCCCTTGGTGACTCGGACTCGAAGAGTGGTGACTCGTGAATTGGTGACTTGACTAAAACACTGCTCTGAGGGTTTAGATAGTTCACTTTAGTCTAAGTTATCTCAGTGAGTCTCAAACATTTTGATCACAATTTATGTAAACAAACATTTCCAAGGCACACCTTTATAATTATTAGGATAAATAAAAACTTGTTTGAAATCATTCAAATGTATACTATAGGGCAGTAAACCAAAAAATATCGTTTAAAACTGGAGAGATTTAAAAATATGCATAAATAAATAAATGTTAACTAGGTAAAATAAGATATGAATGAAAAACAAAAATAAAATAAGTTACATGTATTTGTTATTGGCTATGGTAGGTTATTGGTTATGTTCACACTTATTTGATTAATAAAATGCAAACCGATCTTTTCATATGGGTGTTTTAGAGTTGTATCCGTTAGATCAGTCTCTAGTAATTGGGCGCTCAAAGTGCACCAGATTGAAGCATTTTACTTTAAAATGTTAAAAATATCTTCCCGGGGGGGCACCCCCGGACCCCCCTAGAGGATGTGAAGTCCACCCCCCAATTAAAACATGTTATAATACTAAATACACTTGAAGCCTTTTTATATAAGCTGTCCACCATGTCAATATGTTTATCTTTTTGTAGTGTATTGGTCTTTTGTAGAGGTTTTTCATTGCCAGCTAAAATCTTGCCTAGAGCAGCACATTGGTCAGAACCAGCCCCGGTGTCATCCCCACAGCACCCCCCATTTGAAACATGTTCCCACGGCTATTGTCACAGTTTGTGAAACAAGCAGGACCCAAATGCAGATATAAACTGAAACTTCCTTTATTTCAAGGCTATGAGATATGTGTACAATGACAAAAACAGAACACTCACCGCAGAACTAGTCAGGGACAAAGGACAAACCGACCAAGACAGACAGAAAACCCAGAACTTAAATACACACAAGACTCAATCACACAACAAGACACAGGTGAGGAGGGAGGAGAAAACACAGGGACCCAGGTGAACATAATCAGACAATTAGACACACCAGGGAAACTAATGACAAGACAATAACCCAAAGGGAAACGTGACATGGAAAACAGCAAAAACACCCAAACCTACAAAACTATAAACGTGACATAACATGAGAATCGTGACACCGTTAACGCTAGCTAAAGCTGCCCATTTGCGCGGTTTGTAAATTGACAATGAAGTCAATAAGATAACGGCGTGACACCATTATAGCGGTACATTACAAATGTTTTTTTTAAATGAACAATTGTGTAGTGCTGTGTTTACTGGAGCAATCCCAATGTGTGGCTTTTGCATCATCCGGGTAGTCATAGTGCCTTTTGCCCCACCTTGCATTTGGACTCACTTAACCCTTAGATGCCCGAGTGACTGGACCCTACACTCTTCCATAAGTGGGTCAAAAAGGACCCCTATTAGAAAAATAATAATAATAATAATAATAATAATATATGTTTTTATGCCATTTTTGTCATTTTGGTTAAGAAAAATCACTTGTATAATATTTAGTATTATATTTTGGTTCACACTAGAAATATTTTTGACCCACTTATGGAAGCTTGGGGTAGAAATACAAAAACTACAGTTTCTTCAAATGTACATTTAAAATGTGAATTGCTTGATATCCAAAACATGTTTTTTGAGGAATAGCTGGAATATGAAATGATAAAAAAATGTAATTACAAAGATACTCTAAGCCACCTCACCGGGTCCAAAAATACCCACTTATGCATCTAAGGGTTAAATGAACAATTGTGTAGTGCTGTGTTTACTGGAGCAATCCCAATTAGTACCTTTTGCCATACCTTGCTCACTTAAACCATCAAATGTAATTACAGTGACACAACGCCTCTCTACTTTTAGAGAAATGTGTTGTTGAAAATGTAGTTTTATCAGATACTGTCAGATTTTCGGGATTCAATCATGGACCAAAGAATCAGTCCTGCAGTTGCGCCTGATCTGATTTTATCATAAAAACAAACGTCCGTGGTACCGTCAAACCCTTCCTTCTGAAACGCTGACCATTCCTGACTGCTCTCTATTTCCTGAAGAGGTCAACACTTGCAGTCTGAAGAACAACTTTATTGTGATAGCAGCACATTTCAGCTTAAGGCCTCCATCATAAAACACATTACAGAAGAGCCTTCTCTGCAATGTGCGGTGTAATGTTATCCCACAGGATTTTCTTTGCAGGAACCCTTGCTTGATTTGGTGCAATGAAATTTACAGCGATAGCCAATTTCTAAAAATGTCCCCCTAAAAGCAGAATGTCTCTGATTTGTGTGATTATTGCAGGACTGTCAGACTGCATTGTCTGCCAGGAGCTACAGACAGCGGCAGCTTATCGAGCCATTCTCACTGTAGAGGCGTTTTATTTCTCCTTCCAGCTGCAGACAAAGGGCCAAACATCCCATCGTGAAGCATCCTTTCTTTTTTTATATATATATAAAATACTGAGATGTTGTCCAATTTCTGACAACGTGAGCTGCCAAGACATGCCGAGACATGATTCACTTTTTATTCTGCGTTTTATTTTCAGCCGCCAGATGTTGTCCCTCACTCAGACTCTATATGTAGATATTATTTATTTCTGTAATCAACAGGGCAATTAAGAGAATCCCTGCAATGGAAAATAAGAAGACATACAACAAATAATCAGCTTTGGACAAATGTGTCACTTTTTACATTATTTTTGTGCACAAGACATTTTGAGACCCACCAATATCCAGAGTTGGCTGTAACGCTACTTTTATAATTCAGTAATCACACTACAGTTACTAACATTGCCCCGACACGCGTTACTTTGTTAATTACTAAAATCAGTCATAATCACACTGACAGACAAGAGGGGTTTCCGCCGCAGGTTTATATGTACGTAATCTACGTGACTTGCACGTCCACATCTCCACGTGCAGTGCTGCATAAACATGGCTGAGTCAGCGATAACTTTCGAGGGGTGGAGGTATGCCCATTATTTTGAGTTCGTCCGGAATAATAGACAGGAATGTGACGGTGAGGTGTAAACTGTGTCCAGGCCAGAAGCTGTTATCCACTGCTGTAAACACCACGTCAAACCTCAACAAACACCTGCAAAGAACACATGCTAAGGTGAAGCTAGCACACGCTATTTGTTGTTTGTTTATATCACGTAGTCTGTTCTTCTTCTCTGTCTTCCGGTTGTTCCGGTTGTTGCCTGTTTTGAATGATGAATACACACTACCGCCGCCTGCTGGTAAGGAGAGTTATTGCCACTCACGCATGCGCAGTTCGTACGTGCTCGGCGAGTAAAGTAACGAATGACTTTATGTAGAGAGTAACGAAGTAGTGTAATACATTACTTTAAAAAAAAAAGTAACATGTAATATATTACATTTTTTTTAGTAACGACCCCATCAATATCCACCTATTCCTAATTGCAATGCTCTCATGTTGTCCTGAAGTACTTAATAGTACCTTTTAGCCATTTGTGGAGATGTTTTGAATTCCTTTGGCACACAAAAGGTGTACTGCTTTATTCCCCACCTTTTTGTTTTCTCCTCAGTGAGGTTGATGAAGAGCGATGTAATAATACTATTATATATAAAAGAAAAATGCACCTTTGGGGATGAAGCACAGTAGGAAGCCCGGATGATTCATAGAGACAGAAATGCTCTGAGAGTGTGACATCCAGGTAGGAGGGAATTAGCTGCAGGAATGAGAGCAAGCATCATTTCGGGGAGATAAGAGCGTCGTTTTCTGAAGCTGAACTGGATATGTGGCGACCTCTAACACACCTCCCTCGCTGAGTGAGCATCCTGTCAGAGCTCTGCAGGAACATTGGCAGGATTACTGTACAGACTCCATCAGGATCCCTCTTTGTCACTTATTGTGTAAATTAGACTTGAAAGACTCGGGAGCTGCCGTCTTTAAAGCATTACGGGGATATGGAGATGTTATCACCAGGCAGCTCAATGCATGATAACTATGAGGAAGCCCACCTCTGTGAGAGGGAGGCTGAGTATTACCATCTCAGGTACCTATACTGCAGGTTACGGAACAACATGGAGGCTGTGTGCAGAAATATCAAATTCATTACTTCTTTTTTGATATACGGAAGCCCTGAAGGGACAATGACACTTTTTTTGCTTCTATTTTCTAAGTCTAAATGGTTTTCTCTCCTGTGTGTTTGACATAAGAACAGGTGGACATATATTTTGCTAGTGTCCTTTAACACTCTTAAGACAAGGTACATTACATTGCATTTCATTTAGCTGACGCTTTTATCCAAAGCAACTTACAATAAGTGCACTCCACCAAGGAAATACAAACTTGAAGAAAACAGAATCATATAAGTACATCAGGTTTCATAGAGCTAAAACATTTCAAGTGCTACTCAGCTAGCTTTAGATAAGCCAGTCCTTTATTAGTATATAAGTGCTTTGTTAGTATGTAAGTGCTTTGTTAGTATGTAAGTGCTTTGTTAGTATGTAAGTGCTTTATTAGTATATAAGTGCTTTGTTAGTATGTAAGTGCTTTGTTAGTATGTAAGTGCTTTATTAGTATATAAGTGCTTTGTTAGTATGTAAGTGCTTTATTAGTATGTAAGTGCTTTGTTAGTATGTAAGTGCTTTGTTAGTATGTAAGTGCTTTGTTAGTATGTAAGTACTTTGTTAGTATGTAAGTGCTTTGTTAGTATGTAAGTACTTTGTTAGTATGTAAGTGCTTTGTTAGTAAGTACTTTGTTAGTATGTAAGTGCTTATTTAGTATATAAGTGCTTTGTTAATATATAAGTGCTTTGTTAGTATATAAGTACTTTTTATTTTGTTTTGTTTTTGTTCTCTGTTTTTCATTTTATTGCTCGAAGTGGAGTCGAAAGAGATGAGTTTTCAGTACATATACTGAACTGCGAGTAATGTCACATCCTTCTTTGGCTAGAAATTTAGTTTTTGGAGGAAAGCAGGAAAATCATTTAAGCAAAACTATTTTTCCTCTTATTTTCCAAATGAAAAATAAGAGGAACTCGAACAGATAATCCTGAAAAATGTATTTAAACCTCTTAAGTTATTCAATAACCATCTTCTTTTCTTACTTGCCTCTCAAGGCTTCCATATACATGACCACTATGGCACAACATAAAAAAAACAGTTTGTGCTGACGATCCCACAATGCATTGCAAAGCAGTTTATATGTGTAGAGATGATGCGACACAACACCTGCCAGTGATGGCGTACAGTCTGCACACTCCATGATGCTCCAATGAAAACTTTATTTAAAAGTCAAACTCACCTAAGATCCTGACGCACCATTCCCATGACATCACACACATTACATTTTGTTGTTATTGCCTCATATAAACCATTCACAGTGGTTGTCTTTGTCTGATATCTTATTCCTCTCCTCTCTTTTGACTCCCTGCAGCTGCCTGTAAGGACTCCAAGCGAGCGCTGGAGGTTTCCCAGCATGCCGAGGACATGGGCCTGATCCTGGGGGCCTGCGCCGGGGGCCTGGTGGTCCTCATCCTGCTGCTGGGGGCCATCGTCATCATCGTGAAGAAGGGGTGAGTGTCTATTAAATGTGAGACTTTCACACTCTCAACACTCATTGTTCCCGTGCAGCCGATCCAGAGCAGTGCATTTATCTCCGTCCCAGTTGGCAGCCAGGGTCTATTGAAGAAAGCATTTTGGCAGAGAGTGAATTACAACCAGAGTTAGTGGAATGGTAGAGCATTAATCCTAAAAACTCTCCCCGCCTCCGCCTCAGCCAAGCTTTTGTGTTTCATCTCATCTTTTAATTTCAAGGTCTGCGTGCTTTGGCTGAGCACATTCAAACGCTGCAGAGCTCGCTGGCTGCTCTCCACCTGCAAATTACCTCCGCCGCCCGACGCACCTGCAGTTTGTACTTCCTACAGTCGCCGGGCGGTGGAGGGATGCTCATCTGGGTGTGAAATATTTCATCAAGGGGCATGTTATTCCATTGCCCACTCAATTACATGAGGCGAGCAGCTGTGAGGTGCCAGTGGATGGGCTGGTAATTGGTTAGGAAGGTTGTTTTTGCTGCTTTCTTTTTTGGAAAGGGAACTTTTTCCGCCCTCAGGGATTTTCTCACGGAGAATAGAAGCAGAGTGAATGGATGACTGGAAGAAGTCAGGGACCGATAACATTCAGAGGCACAAAATGAGACAGCCACATAGGGGAGGACGTGTTTATATTCAGCCACCAGATGTTGTCTACCATGAACAGTTAGACTGTATGTGTGAATGAGATTGGGTTGTGCAATCAAAAGGACAATTAGAGATCCCCTGCAATACAAGAGAAGAAGACATTTAACAAATAAGGGCATGCTGCACAACAAAACTCAGCTTTGGACTAATCTGGCAATTTCTATCGCATCAGACACAACAAATTGGTTTGGAGACACATTAATATCCAACTATACCTTATTGCGATCCGGTCATTTTGTTTTAAAGTACCATGTTTGTAGAGTTTTTGGATGGATTTGGCACACAAAAGATGCCAAGAAACACAGCTTACTAACTGCCTTCTAAAACCTTAATGTGTGGGAATCTGAAAATGTAAACTTGAAAGACTTCCGGTTTTAGATTTGTAAGACAATTAAGATTTTAGAACGCGCACAAGTAAAAAAGCGAGTGAATTTGTATTTTTTTTTGAGAATGTGAAATTCCTTAGTAAATTAAATAATATATGATATACTGATTTTAGTTTTTTCCTCAATTTAAAGAAGCCCTATTCTGCTTTTTGGAGTTTTCCCTTTCCAGGCGGTTTGAGAAAAATAGAGACCGTTTTGAACATTAAAGGTGGGGTATGTAATTTATTTCAGAAACACTTTTTGTTATATTCCATGGAATGCTCTTAACATCCCGATAGCAATGAATATATGAAATGCTTTGACAATAAATACATAAAAAAAGGTCATCTGTGGAAGCCTGTAAAAAGCACGACCAATCATCTGAGCCGGCCCGGCTAAAATAACTGGATGGCCTACCTGCCTGTCAGCCTTCCATCTGTGCACAAACTTATCTCGTGCCCTCATTGGTCATGTGCGTGTTCGTGTGTGTTGGAGGAGGGGCTCTGTGAGGAAGGGGCAGATTTCTTCCGGTTGTGTATTTTCAAATTCTAGCTGGTTTCTCCAAAATTACATACCCCACCTTTAAAGCATGGAAACATGTCACATAGAGACACTAAACACTGATATGAACCTGAACATCAGCAGAACATGTGCTCTATTGTGATGCTTTCAAAACGTTTACTGCCGGTTAAGGTTATGGAAACACAAAATTATCCTAAAAACAGCCAAATAAATTCATCAAATTCCCAATAACCTCAGAAAAAGCCACGTGTCCATGGCTGCTTTTCGCTGTGCAGCGGCTCTCCCCTCCAGGCTTCGCTTCATGATTGCTTGCTGACAACATTTCAACGCACTAAGCATCTTCATTGATCCTCCTGATGCCCGTCATGATAAACCATAGTCACCTCTCTTTTTTTTTTCTCCTGGCTCTCTCTGTCTCTCTCCTCCTTCATGCTAATCAGAAGGGACTTCTATCCTTACCCTTACTACCCGTAAGTTACTCCTTTATCCATCTTCCACCCACACGCCATCTTTCCCCCTTTGCTTGCCCTTCATTCACTGAAAAAACTGAAATGTTGACTTTAATTAAATGCATTAAGTTGAATCTAATATTTTGTATTTGACTTTAATGTTATTGCTTTCTACTAACCTAATGCAGATATGTAACATTTGTTGACATTTAATGAAAGTCAACACACAGTGTAGGACAGTGGAAATGAGCCTTGTTATCTCACCTCATCCTCCAGTATAGACCCCTCTTCCTCCTCCTCCTCTTCCTCCTCCTTTCACCACACCACTTCCACTCTGCTGCTATCACCAAATCACACTTTCCCCCTTGTGCAGTTTCAATCTTGCAGCCCTTTATATTTCCCCCCCGTCAGTCCAATTTCTCATCTCCTCACCCACCTTCCTTTCCTTTTCTTTCCTTATCTCTTTGCCTCTCATTCTCTATTATCACTCCCTGTCCTCCCCCCCCCCGTCTCTCTGTCTCTCCCAACCACCTCTCTCTGTCTCTGTACAGTAGGAAGAAGGTGGCCATCAACAAGGCGGCCATGTCCTACAGGCAGGAGAAGAGTCGGAAGCTGAGCTCGCTGGACTGCAGCATGACGGAGCAGAGCACCTTGCAGCAGGACGAGAGGATGGCCAACTCCTTCATGGACGCCCACGGGTGCAACACTCGCAGTAAGACAGCGCAGAACATATGGGTGCTCTCGAGAGAAGTGTCTGAAGAGAGAGGGCAATCCTGCTTCCTGACCTTCAGCCATGTTTAGTTTCAAGCATGCCAAAGCTGCTCTGAATCAGAATCAGGAAATGTTATTTTTGAGGAAGAAACGAGATGGAATAAAGGTATTTGTAATATTATGTAGAATATATAATATATCCAGAAGTACAAGTGCGATAAACATATACACATAAGAAGTTAAGTTATAAATAAAGGTACAATAAAACAAATATTTATACAAAACATAAAAAGTGTCTGAAGAGAGAGGAGAGGAAAATCTGTTCTGAATCAGAATAAATAAATAAATTGAAAGATGGAAAAATATATATATAATAAAATTAAGTAAATAAACATAACATCTGAAAGTAAGGATTTGCAATAAAAAGATCACTAAAATATTTAAAACAAAAAATATATAGTAGTATAAGAACATACAAAGTTGAAGTAAGAAAGTGCAGCAAAAAGATCAAATAAATAAATAATAAATAAATACAATCTTATTCAGAGCACACAGTGTTCTCAACATTCTGCATGTCTCAACATTCTGCATGTCTGAATATTCTGCCCAAGCGCTGACTTATTTTCCTTTAGAGTCTGATCACGGAACGTTTACATTTCCCTATAACAGGAGATTGTGTGGCATGACTTTGATCTGAATGTGTGTGTGTGTGTTTCCAGCCGAGCAGCGCAGCTCGGTGAACGAGTCGAGCAGCTTGCTGGGCGGCTCTCCGCAGCGCCACAGTCGCAGGAAGAGCTCTCCGTATCACACGGGTCAGCTGCACCCTGCTGTGAGGGTGGCTGACCTCCTGCAGCACATCAACCAGATGAAGACCGCCGAGGGGTACGGATTCAAACAGGAGTACGAGGTGAGGAGGAGGAGGAGGAAGATATTCAAGTCAAGGCTTGGAGGGATAGGTATCGGAATTATGAAGTTTTATCAGAATTCTGAGAGTTTAGGAAAAAGGTCAGATTTTTTTTTGATTTCTTAGAAAAAGTCAGAATTTTTAGATTCTCAGAAAAAAAATCTAAATTTTGAGATTTTCGGAAAAGTCAGAATGTTTTGATTTTCAAAAAAAAGTCAGAATTCTTACCGTTTCAGAAAAAAGTAGGAATTTGGACATTTTCAAATAAAGTCAGAATTTTGTGATTTTCAGAAAAATAATGAGATATTTGGGATTTTTGGAAAAAGCCAGAAAGTTGAGATATTAAAAAAAAGCCAGAATTTTGAGATGTTCAAGAAAAAAGTCAGAATGTTTTGATTTTCAGCAAATAGTCAGAATCTTGAAATAATTGTTTTTTATTAAATGTTGAGATTTTCTGAAAAAGTCAACATTTTCGGATTTTCAGAAAACTAATAATATTTTCAGCCTTTTTTGAAAAAAGTCAGAAAGTTGAGATGTAAAAAAAAAACCAGAATGTTTTTGAATTTCAGAAAAAAGTCAGAATTTTGAGAATTCAGAAGAAAAGTCAGAATTCTGGGATTTTCAGAAAAATATTTGGATTTTAAGAATAAAGTAAAAATGTATATTTTCAGAAAGGAAACATTCTTAGATTGAATTCCTCCAACCCCTCGACCACCCTCGTCTCCAGCTGGTATAGCAAAGGTGTGAAAACAACAGTACAGATGGCATCATTTACACACTTTTGTTTGCAGAGCCCTTCATTGTGTGACTGCAAACAAATACTTAAATATTCATCGGCAACCTCCATCTGCAACACAGGAACAATGCAGATAAACTAAACTCTCAATGCTCTTCAAACTTTATTATGAAGTCCTACACATCAACCTTTTGTGATGAGTCTTGTTTTTGCACATCCACCTGAAGGATGCCAGATGCACTTTTTCCATTCATTAAAATCCCTGAGGGGCCAACAGACCCCCCC